ACCGGGGCGAGCCGGAAACCGTAAAAACAGCCCCGAACGGGCGCGGGAGATGAAAGGCGCGCCGTGGATTTATTGTTTGAAGATGAAGGAGTGATGCGGTGAATGCTTAAAGAGGGACGGGGCGAAGAATAAAGAGTTAAAAGCAGTCATGGGCGGAGCGGCTGGGAGGGCAAGTGAGTCAAACGGAGGAGATAGGGCTGATGATGGAGCCAGAAAAAGGCACGGAAGGCTGTGGGCAGTATTCAGATGAGCCCGTCTGACCGGCCAGTGCCCAGATTGAGTGAATTATGATCACTGGGCCAGTGGGCACTCTAAAATTCAGGGAGACCGCAGCAACAAATGAGCAGCCGAGGATGAGAAAATCCCTCAAAGACAAAGATAAAACAGGTTTAGTTTTGTTTTTGAGCAATTTTTTCCTTTTTTATTAATACTTGTCGCTTGGTGGCTGGTATGCTTCCACTTCAGGCCTCATGTAGCGTTATGGACACATGAGGGTTTAATAGTCTGCAGCTATAGAGGAGGATAAATGTGGAATAAATAAAAAAAATCTACCAAAAACCCGATTTACATCCATCTCCCGCCTCAGCATCACTCTCGCTCTGGTATTTCTGTCCATAAGGGAGCCCGGAGGAGAGAAGTGCAGATCTTTTTGAAGGCCGAGGGCAGAAGCAGGGATCTGGGTCCCAGAGCTCCAAACCCAAACCCAACAACAACAACACAGCTACCACAACAACAACAACAAAACAACACGCACACATACCTTAGTATAACAGTTTAAAGAGAAAATACATGCAATCTCATTTTCATGTCAAGTCTTTTAAACTAAAAACTGGTTAATTATCTTGGATCCCATCTGACAGAAACATAATTTGATTTTCTTGATTATTATTTTCTTTCATCTATCTACTTACATGATTGAAAGACCATTTAAGGTCCCTTTTTTTTTTTGCACTGAAGAGGCAAGATGTGGAATAGAGATTCAGCAAGGTCCAAAATGGGGGCATGGAGCAAATAGCATCAAATGTAGATGAAGTAAACTCTTATTTGGGTGAAACTTGATGCTTTGCAGTGGCATGCTGTGGTTTTATTTATTATTATATTGTGCAGCCAACAACTGGCTGAGCGAGCTTTGTCTGTTGTTCTGCTGTCAGTCTGTCTGTTTCCCGCCTTCGCGTCCGGCCGAAATCTGCCGCGCTGCCTCTGTTTTGTGCTCGTTTTTTTGTTTTTTTGTTTGTGTCTCTCATCAGTGTGTTTTCCTTCCCCCGCTCGCTCTATTGATTCTGACTTCGGCTCTACCAGCGCACGAGGGAGGGCTGCTTCCAGCTGCTGCAGCAGGATGGTTGTTTACCTGCATTTATCCCATATGTGTTTGCAGACTCGCAGGCCCCCCCCTGTTCAACTGGGTGAGGGAAAGAGGCTAGATACTAGGGCTCGTGCTTTAACAGTTGTGTGCTTTTTTGCTCTGAAACAAGATCAGAAAATCGTCTTTTTAATGATATAAACATTAAGCATCTGCCCAACCTATGTAGAAATAAAAGTAAAAAGGTATTTGTGGGTTTATTTAGATTTTTTTGGTTCAGTTTTTAATGTTGAAACGTGTTTTTTTTTAGATCCCCTCCAGTCCACCCCCAAAACTGCCTCATGTATATAAAAAAAAAGGCTTCCCACTCTCCAGAGAATTACTGAAGAATTCATAATTTTCCAGCTTTCTCCGCCTCCAAGGTTCTTTTTTGCCAGGATTCAAACCCGATAATATATGCAGCAAGCAGAGAGATCAAATATATATAGCAGAAATTTATGTGTGTGCATGGGCACATGCACCCCAGCTGCTATCTTCAGAAACACCGTGACAATGCCTGCAGCTACGGGGCAAAGTCTACAGGTCTGAGTGTCAGATGCCTTCACAGAATCAGCAGCTTTAATGTGCTGTCACATTATCCGGCTGCAGCATCAAGGTGAGGCACCAAATGCGACGCCTCAGAGCTCCATCACTGGGTACTGACCCGCTTCCACCAGAAAATAACTTCTGCTAAACCAAGGTACAAGGCTTTCTCTTATTTCCCCAAAACTCGTCCCTGAAACTCAGCTTACTAGAAGATCTGAGGCAAGAGGCATACCTATTATTTTCATTCATCCCATGAGATTGTTGTTGTTTTTTAAAGCTACCAGACTGAATAAAAGGAATCAGTGCCTAAAGATTAGAGCTAAAGATGTTTGTTTAAACATATTAAAGTCAAATTCCCCAAAAAACACACAATTAACAACACATTTATCATCAGATTTATGTTTATCTGCATTTATTTTAGGCTAATATTAACTTTTTTTGGATGAAGTACCAAAACAGTGATGAACTGGGTCACTGACATGATCGTAACTTTCGAGAACAACGTGTTTCCTCATAATTTAATGAGAGAAGTTGAGACTTTTTGATGAAGCCATCTGTGATTTTGCAGTCTGAAGCACTTTTGCTGTTATTTCTTTGGAGTCACGTCGTTTGGCGCCACACCAAAGTCAGCAGAGTTGGCCGTATACTGACCATAAAGCTCCAGCATTGCATTGCTTCCTTATTCCTTATTTATTTATGATTAAAAAAAGGCAGATTCACCATGGCAACAAGGCTACTGTAACTCCGAATGCACCATATCTTTATTCCCTATATAATCGGCTTTTAGAAATGCAACCATGATGCTTTCAATAGCCCAAATTACCCACTGATCACAGAAAAAACTGTATTAGTGATTTGACTGCCTAAATTCCACTCTTATTCATGCCAATTATGTTGAGTAAGCTCTCGATGTCTGGCGTGAGGCAGCATTAGAATTGATTTGTTGTTCATTTTAGAGTGCTTTGTGTTATCTTTGGGGTATTCTGGAGCGGGCCGAGCCCTGACTGACAAATTGCTGCAATCATAGCGGTTGGATTGTTGAGAAAAACAGCAGTCTGACTGTATGAAACCAAGCCAAAGGGCTTTTAAAGGTTATGCTATCATTTGTGACAGCTGAAGGAGAAAGGAACATCCTCCGGGACTCTGTTTTGTCTGTCAGACCAGAGATGAGGGGAGGGAGATAGTGCGCGAGGGAGGCAATTGTGTTTGAGTGAAATATGAAGGTCTAATCATGGAAATGATAGCGAGAGGAAGAATTCTATCTCCTCAATTAAAGGTTGGGCTGTCAACTACCTTTGCACAATCTAAGAGAGCATAGCACAGAAATAAATGGAACATTTTCTCTTTCGATAATGATGTTGGGAAGAACGAGGGATGCTTCTGTTTACATTCTCCTGTAGGGTGCGAGAAGGCGAGAACAGGTTTGATTAGCTTGTGTGGATTTAACATGCATCACAGGAGGTGATAAATCATAATCATGGGAACGGAGACAACGCTTCCTTCCCACTGCACACGTTTCCTGTAGGTTCACCACAGTGCCTCTGTCCTAACACCGAAAACACTCGAGGTTTAAGGGCGTCAAATGAAATGGGGAGAGGCACACATGCTCATATTTAGCTGCTCCAAATGTCCATTTTTTAAATCTATTTTGCGTTGTCCATATCCCAGCCTTTGTCTTTATTGTCTCCCTCTACTCCTCATTTCTACATCACTGTCTGATTCTAAAGGTTGCCGAACAGAAAAGTATCTTAGTCTTTGCTAATCTTTACGATCACAAGGCATTAACAGGGCTGGAAATGATCGATTAAACGTCCTCACCCCCACGACACAGAGAAAGGAGTTTACATTGATCCCTGTAAGATTTGACCACACGTGTGAGGGAAGGAACATTTAAATCGAGGGAAACAGGTGTTGATGCTCTTTGTTTCTTTATTATTTATGACGGCCCGACACAAAGGCCTGCTGATGATGTATGTCTGCGAGATGATTTGCTTTATTGTGCGCTGCTCCGCGGTAATTCTCTGCTGTTTTATATCCTGCTGTGATTTGTAATGCTGTTGCCTTATCTCTCCAGATCAGTCTTCCTGTCTCTGGTTTTGCTGACAAGCCCAAAGCCACTCTATAGTCATCAAGCCCAGGCTCGCTTTTACGCAACATCTGTCAAACTAAGCTTTGATCGTTCTGCTATTTTTACTCTAATTGACCAATATAGACAAAAAAGTGAAAACTATCGTTGTTGGCTTAGATTTGAAGAATACAGAATGCTGTATTTGTTTAGCAGTTTTCTTTTGTCTGAGCTAACAGACAGTCAGTGCCCAGCTTAATAATGATATTAGGCTAATGACGGAAATGTACAATCCAGATTGCCACTGAAATGTAATTACTGAGCCACTGACCTCAGGTTATCTCTACATCAAATATCAGTTCAGTGAATAAAAATAAAACCGTCAATGTCAGAAATTATTTAATCAGATCAGTTGAATAGTACAATATCAACTCCTATATGGAAATTGTATCACTGCAGTATGAAAAATGAATGGAAACACTGATATGGATGATCAGATTAGAGGGGAAATTCCGTTTAAAAGTAGTTTAAATGTTTTAAATCCTCATATATTGGAAACTGCTATTGAATTTGTAGCTTTACCACAAATTACCTGATCATTGCATTTAGCTAACTGAGTTGAACTCACCAGTATGAACAATAACATTCAGCCAGCAATTCCACTTTCTGGATTGAGAGAAGCTAATAATAACGTTGTGTTTTCATGCTGCATTCTGCCTTCTTTTACTCCACATCTTTTCCTTTTCGATTGAAAGTCATCTTTTCTGTTGCAATGCCTTTCTCCCAAACACAAAAGGAAGACCTTATTTTTAACCACTCGCAGTTACGTAATGTGACTGTGGCTCATCATGCTGATGCGGCTGAATGTCAGTGCACAGAGGCTGCATTTAGCCTGCCGCCGTGTCATTAGACCATGTAAACACGGGCCAGGGCCAGGGCACCTCTGCTGACATGTGTGTGTGTGTGTGCGATGTGGACGGGAAAAGCAGAAATCATCAGCTCATCTCGGCCTGAGAATCACACGCACCAGCTCTTTATGGGGATTAGAGGATGGAGGTGTGGGTGTTCTGCCCGCTGAGCGGGTCAGCACTCAGCCCGGAGCCGCCCGGTCCGTCGTCAGCCTGGGAGCTCAGATATGAGACCCCAAACACGGTCTGTTGACAGGTTAAATGTTTCCATACATGCCCGACAGGTTCCTGTTTATTAGACCTGGATTTAGGCCACCTCTGACTTTGCAGCATGAACTTAATTAACACTTTTCTTTCAAAGTGCTGAATTTCAGTGGAAGGTTTTCCGTTTTCCGTCTCAGATTGTCTTGGGTCGAACGATAATTAATTGATTTGTGAACCCAGAGTCCTCCCATTTTCTGGAAAACAACAGAATTAATCTATTTGGAGGCAGCACAGTATTTGTTTGGAGGTCAGATTAGTCAAAACAAAAAAAAACTGTAAGCCCAACAATGAGATTTAGGGTTAAAAAAAGCTTCTAGGTTCTCTTTTTTAGACAACATTAAAACTTATCTCTCTTTTCCAGGATTGTTGGCTATTAGACGAAAAAACAATGAAAATATATAAATATTATGGGTAGAATGAAAAAAGATGGGCGGAAGTCCATCACAAATATTTCGTCACTATTTCATGAAACTAAAACTTGGATCTCCATCTTGAAAGTCATCCCCCGACCTTTAAAAGGGGGGTGGGGGGGGGGGGGGGTGGTTTATGGTGCGGATCAATAGAACAAGGCAGTTTCACTTTGACAGTTTCATGAACGTCTACTAAAACTAAGATGTCTGCTTTTCCCCCCTTTTCTTCCCCAGTTTCAGTTTTTACCCCGCTCCTTCTGTCTACTTTTTCATTTTAAAGACACACGACTCTGGGTTTTGACAAAAACCGCTGTGTGTGTGTCCGTGTGTATGTGTGTGTGTGTATATGTGTGTGTATATGTGTGTGTGTGGGCAGACGCGGGTGTGAAAGGGACACATAGCAGAGGAGTGCTCTGGACCTGCTAACTGACACGGCCGTTTATGACAGCCATCTGTCCCGTTTGAGCGCGCGTGCACGAGCACGTGCGCGCCCGTAGACAGGGCCCGACTCTGGCTGGTGGGCGTCGGGGTCCAGGTGGCTGCATACTGTAATGTTGCACCCTGGATGTGCAACAGCGTGGGGGGACGGGGGGGCCCCCACAGAACATAAAAACACAGCTATGGAGGGCCTGCTGTTACCGGGAACAGACAACTGGAACCCCAGAGGCCCGGTTCCTTTTATTATTTCAGTCTGGACTCTTTCTGTGGTCTCCCCCTGATCGATCGTAGCTCTCTATGTCTCAATCTCCCTTTTTTCTCACAGCCAATTCTCTACTTCTAGAATCAACTTTAAGCATAATCTTTCAAATGAAATGGATAGGACGAAAATAATTTTGCCTGATCTTTCCTTCTGTTTTGTAACAGTGTGAGAGCTCTCTTTTTGCTCATCTTATCAAAGATTATGGATGTGTTTTATTTCTTTCAAATGTTTCTTTTGAGGGATTATCTTTGTCAAAACTATGTGAGTCAACAAAATGAAACACGGTCAAACGAAAACAAACTGGTTGGCATTTTTGTCACCAATCAAACCACCATGAATCAGACAGATTTAGTTTTAAACGAACATCATTGATGGTTGGTCACTAATCTGCTTCTTCGCACTCAACTTGTTCCTCTCTGGAAAGAAGATTAGAATCCACGTGCTTCTAAGATCTTTCATTTCCAAACCTGAAAAGCAGCCGGGATGAAAGATTACTCAAATGGGAGAAATAATTGGATCCCGCTCACCTGCTCTGCCTCGTGAGCTCGTTTTGTCGTAAACGTTCGGACAGCAGCAGTTAAATTTGACGGGACAGAATACGGGGAGAACATTTGATCAGACTTGCGGGGAACAGGATCCTCGCCTGCACAGATTGAGAGTCATCAGCTGCTTTTTCCTCTCTGAACTGGGAGAAATCATTCATGGTGCATTGTGCATCGATGGCTATTTTTACATTGAGCTGAATCACCGTTTGAAGCAAAGACCTCTTACAATGGAGAAAAAAGCTGTGCTTCCAGACTCTGAAGAATGAATTTGGATGCGGAACAATAGCTCGGTGCTTTAAAACATTAGGCAACAGCTGCTCAGTCCACCACCGGGGTTCAGACTGAAAGCCTCAGAGGTCATTAGCATGAAATTCTACTTAGTTGTGCTACTTAAAAACAGACATTTACGTCTGGTTCCGGAATCACTGACTTCTGCAGGTCTTTTTTTTCAATAAGTCATTTTTAAAGGCAGCATTTGACTAAATAGATGGACTGAATACAGTCTTTATCACTTGTTTCATGAAGGGACTGTCAATAAATGATGATTTATCCACCAGGATGTCATCTATAGGCTTGTTCAGTACCATTATCAGGCTTTCGGGTTTTGGTGGATTACATTTTATTCTATTTGGAACCACTGGGGACCATATTCAAACAAGAGCATTAAGCTTAATAGGTAAATTCAGCTCTGACATAATAGTTATTCAGGTGAATCATTACTGGACTACAGATGAAATCTTTAAAGATTGTCTTCCTGCTCTGTTGTGATTGGCTGCAGGTACTCGGTGCTCAGTCAGATTCCCTGCTGCCTCATAGTTTCGGGTTTGAAAATCAGAGCCAAAACGCTGGAATTCAGGACAAAAACGCCAGAACAAAAGTCCTTTTGTACGATCTCTTTATAACTTCTGTGGAAATATAATAGCCTCTGATCTGTAAGGTGGCATCTGATTGGCTGTTACATAAGATTTAAATAATTAATACCCCTGTTTGAGGATAATTCCCAAGTTTATATGAGTCTAGGGCTTTTTAGGAGCACAGTATAAGATGAGCAAGGAGAAATAGCCCCTCTTTAAGCAAACGGTGTAAATACGAAGCCAATAAGTCACTTCTTCTACATAAAGATTCTCCATTTGAGGTATTCGGTTGTAAAATCCAGTCTGCACATGGTTGAATGTACAGTGAGTGTTTTTTTTTTCATATACAGCACAGCCTATTTTCATGGCTATATTTAGAGGCCTGTTTCTACTGGAGGTGAGGATACGGCCTGCTGTGTATGAGCTGAGGGAGGCATATGCCCCCCCCCCCCCCCCCTACCCCCCCCTCCTGGGGTGAATTAAATCAAAGCTGAGAAGTGCTGAGAGGAGCTGATAGGCACCGGTCCCTGGAGTAGGGCGGGGGTCTTTTGGCCCCATTTGTCCAGCAGAGTAAATCAGCCTTTTACTGTTTGTGCTTCCATTTTTTGACACCACAACTAGAATGTAGTGCCTGGAAGATGGATGACCCAAAAGCTTCTCAGCTCTTAAGACACAGCGAGCTGCTTACTCCCCGATTCAAATCCATTCCAGCAAGCTTCGAATAGGAAGAAGAGCAGATTTCTGTACGGTTTCCTCCCCTGACCGCATATGGACTTCCCTGATGAAATTCCAAATATCTGGACTCTTTTGGGTCATTTGGTTTTTCAGTGTTTCGTTGCTTGGTGCTTAGCCACAAACCTGGAAGTCCTCTGTTGTTTCTCGTGTTACTCTACATATTTTCCACCTTAACAGCATCTTTCTACTTCCATTCTGCCCCCCCCTCGTCTTTTATTTCTCTAGCACTGTGTCCTGTGAGGGTAGGACGAGAAAAGAAAAACATTCCCATTGTCCCACTGTTGTTGTTTTTTCAAAATGAGCTGCTCCTCATTTGAAAGGGAAATTATTTATTGTAATGAGCTCAAACTGCAGCGGTTTTGTGGATGTTCAGGGTGGATTTCAAATACAGTTTTTTTTAAAAAGACTGTTGGTGAGGCTTTAAATTGATTTAACATATTTTTACGCAATAATTTTTTTTTTTAGATTAATTAATTATTCTTTTAAATGGTTTTTAATTCCAATGTCTATGCATATAGTTGCATTGAAGTGGAGAAATTAAGAGCATATCATAAATCCTAACGAACACTGCCGTCTGCGTCTGGAAATGGAAGTAAGATTTTGTTGGTTTTGTATAGAAATGGAAGGCTGAGTATGAACTAAACGCATCCACACCGACCGTAACATCACCCCCCCTCATTATCACAGCATTAAAGATGAAGGCAGCTGAAGTTTATTCAGGGATGAAAAGACGTCCTGTCCTCCTGGAGGTGTTTCTGGATACACCTCCAATGAGGACAGGACAGGTTTGTTTCTCACTTTCTCTCTCCTCCATGATTTATTCATATTCTGAGTGGAGCGCTCCATCAGTCCTTCACACCTCAACTATATTCAGAATCCCAGCATCTCCAACAAATGCATGGAAATCTTTCTATTTTCTATGCTCTTGTCTGCTTTTGAACTCAAATACCTGACATAACAGTTGAAAAACATGGAGGCCGATTGAAAAAACGAATTTTTTAAAATAAAACTGGGCTCATGATGCATGCGCTGTGGTTCCCTGAGTGTGTGTCACACTCGTTAACCTGCACAGCCAGCAGCGGGCCGCGGGTTGCTTGCTTTTTCACGGCACCTCCATTCATAATTCACCATGTAAACTACAAAGCCGGCCGGGTAAATGGACATGTAAGCTGGTGATGAGACAGACGGAGGAGAGCCACCTTTGACACTTCAAAGCCTTTCCAATGCATGAGGAATGAACACACAAATCAGAACGGGTCCTTTGTACTCAAATGCGACCCCGGCGAGGCAGCCGACGCTGAGCCTGAGCACAAAGAGTTAAAAAGAAATAGTGGAATGGATGTGTGACATTCGCCGTGGAAACAGATACAGGCGTGCACAAACTCAGCCACTCTCTTCCTGTGGTCTTTCATTTTGGCTGTGGTACTCTTCCCCCCCACCCCCCACCTCTCCCCCCCTCCAGCTTTTTGCTGCCTCCTCCCAGAGTCTCATGTATTTTTCATACGCTCGCCGTCCCAGAAGAATGCTTCTGTCCAAGAATCCTCCCCACCGTTACAAGGTCATGTTGAACAGCCGGACCCTTATGATACTGGCATGAGATTTAATTCACTTCAGCATCTGGATGTCTGTTGCTCTCTGTCTTTGTCCTGTGGCTCCAAAAAAAAGGCAAATCTTGACTAAATAAAAGCCAAATTGAAATATTTTAGCCTGCTGTCTTCAAAAAAAGACAGAAAAATGAA